GATGGGTCTTGGGATAAGGGGAAACTAGATAGGAAGTTGGGCTCTGGTGCAGGTTTTAGCGAGCTTTTATTAGATCAGATCCAGCAGATCCCCATCTCGGGGGACGGTTCAGATGGCATGAGGTGGAGACTTACATCATCGGGTGTGTTTTCTACTACCTCGGCTTGGGAGCAGATCAGACTGAGAGATCGGCCTAATCTTTTCTTCGGGGCTATCTGGATCGACCTTTTTACCCCTACCATTTCGGTGTTCTTTTGGCGCCTCCTCTTGCGCCGGATACCCGTGGATACTGTGTTATACGCGAGGGGGATCTCCTTCCCCTCTCGGTGTGTGTGTTGTTCTGAGACTGGACGCCATGAGACCGAGACCCTTACCCACCTTTTTCTAGAGAGTGAGACTGTGAGGAGAGTGTGGGAGTATTTTGCCACTTAGATCCATTCATCCCTACCTACCACAGACAGTTTCTTTGAGCTCCTGAGTTTTTTCTCACAGAGCACACACCTTAGACACGTGGGTTTCCTCATTCCTTGTCTGATCCTTTGCTTCACCTGGACAGAGATGAATAGTGCGAAGCATAGGGATATTACTTTTTTGTTTTCTCATATTGTTTTGCAGGTAGAGAGACACATTTCACTCCTCATAGCATTAGGCAGGCTCACGGCCCGAGACTGGACAGGTTGCACGCCGCCACACCATTACATGGTGGCCCCCCCACCGTTTGTTCGGCCTCCTCGGGCCAGAGCTGTTGTTTGGCTTCGACCTGACTCTCCGTGGGTCAAGCTGAACACTGATGGCTCTTTTGATCGTCATACTAGAATTGCCGGAGGAGAAGGCTTGATCCGGGACCACAGCGGTGCCCTCATCACCGCCTTCCACGCGCCCCTTCAAGCCTCCTCGAGCTACGATGCAGAGATTCAGGCATTACAGAATTCATATTGTTGTCCACCTCTCCAGCCATATTTGGATCGAGCTGGATGCTGCGGCTGTCGCCACCCTCTTGACTTCGGGCCACCAAGGCTTGTGGCAGATTCAACACCCGCTTATGCGCATTAGAGCTCTACATCGGTCTGTCCATAACAGGATCACGCACATTTCCGTGAGGGGAACAGACCTGCTGACTACCTTGCCAGCCTTGGCGCCACCATACCAGACCCACATACGTTGCAGACTGACACTGCTCCACTCCGCCTTCGCACGCTTGTACGGGTGGACCAGCTTGGATACCCATCTTTTCGCTTTCAGTAGATTAGATTTATTGCTTTCATTCGATTAGACTTTTTATTCCGGGCACCTGTTAGCCCGATGACAGACTTTGTTTTGTTTTGTTGCTTTTTCCTTTTTGTTTTGTATTTTTTGTTTTGCTTGTGAGACTCTGTAGACTGTAGTTTGTTGATATTTTGGACCCCCGTCTTAGGGTCTTGATCTATGCACAGGTTGGGGATCCAGCCTAATCCCCCGCCCTTCCGGGGTGCTGTTTGTTTAAAAAAAAAAAACTTAGCAACTACAGAGAACTAACCTAGCAACTAGAGAGAACTAACCTAGCAACTACTAACCTAGCAACTACAGGCAACTAGCCTAGCAACTACATAGAACTAACTTAGCAACTACAGAGAACTAACCTAGTTGAAAGTTTAGTTGTCAAATGTCAACGCTGGAAGTCAACGGTCAACGCCAGAAGTCAACGGATTTAGCCAAAAGTCAACGGTCAACGCCGAAGTCAACGGGTCAAAATAATATTTAAATAATTAAAATAATAAAATTATATGAGTAAATCTTGACCACACATGATGTACCAAATCTTGTGGCTCAAAATGAGTCTCACGTCCTCACTTTAAATAAGTGGATGCATTGGAACCAATCCATATATATATATATATATATATATATATATATATAATAAATAGTTATATATAATTGTAAGCTATTTCATTACTGCAATAGCCTACATTTTTCCGCCTGATATGGAATAACGTACCAGATTGACTGAACCCGAGGAGCAGCAGAACTGGACCGAACGAACTAGCGGGTCGAATGGAGATTGAAGACTTCTCAAGTTGAAAGACCCTCTGGTCGAAGGGGATGTCACGGATTTAGAGATCTGGTTGTAAACGAATCGAATCAAATCGAGTACTAAAATATTCGATTCAGATTCGTTAAAATATTCGAAGATTCGAATTCGTATTCGATTTGTAAACAAACTCAATTTTTGATTCGTATTCGATTTAATTAGAATACTCAAACATACTTCTATATATAATTATATAGACAAAAAATTTATTGCAAAAAGAAAATATGCTAATTTTATTCAGCTAAATTTAAAAGTTAATTATTCATTTTGCTNCATAACATTTCATATCATAAAAAAGCCAATAGGCAATGTACAAAGGCGAAGTCTTCATCCTGGAATAATGAGAGGTTACAAGCACAATTTGCAACCTAGTCAAAATACAATAGCAATCTACAAATACTCACACACAGCCTGGACAACTGACAAATGCAATAAGTGAGCTAAATCGACCATAAACACATGTATGCAATCACAAAAAGAAATACACCACTGACACAAGACCTAGAGTATTCCTTTTTGGCCCATCTAAGTTCCTTGGTATTCTCTCCATTCATGCATTGCCATAGCCAAATCCAGTCTGCCTTCTTCCAAGTCTTCTCAAACACCCACAAGTTCCGAGCTTTCCACAACCACCAAAGAATGTATGTTGATAGTTGAATTCTTTCTTCAGATGTATCTTTATAGTTCACAGAACTCAGCAGCCACCACCATTCTTTAAAAGTGATTGCTTCTTCCTCCATTTTGTTCCTCTGCACCGGGGCCATCTTCCATGTTATTTGGGCTCTAGAGCATCTGAACAGAACATGAGTCACAATTTCCTCTTGATCTCCACAGCATTGACACAAAGGTTCCACATGCATCCCTCTTTTCAACAAGTTACAATTCACGGGGAGTATGTTGGAAAAACATCTCCATATGAAATGTTTAGCTTGCCTTATTACCTTTAAATCCCAGCATCTCAATCTTGCTCTTTTGTTCCCTGCGGCCATTCGACTGCTTTCAGCTATAGAGTTGTTGCACAACTCTCTCCCAGTCAGCTCCCCATATGCTTTCTTCACAGAAAATTTTCCTTTGTCCAGAAAGCCACACTTTTTTAAATCATCAGCCCCAGAATTCAGTGTTTTAATAGCCAAGATTTTATCTGCCACCTCAGATTGAAACAGAATCCTAACTAGCACTTCATCCCAGTCACATCCATTAGCCAATATCAGATCCTTCACTTTGAACTGTGCACCATCAATCTGTACTCTCGACTCAAGCTTACGCCCATTTAGCTCTGGAATCCAGTTCATTCATTCAAATTGGTATCGGCCCCATTTTTTTTTTATGACAATATGCACATGAGATTTCAGATAAGAGATTACAGATGACCATGAACTCCACAGCCAAGAAACCCCAGATTTCTTCACATATTCAAATAGAGAGCATGCAGGGAAATACCTGGTTTTAAGCAGTCTACTAATGAGCAGGTCGGGCTGTTCAAAAATCCTCCACATCTGTTTGAGAATGAGAGCTCTATTGAAAAGCTTAATGTTCTGAAAGCCCATACCACCATGTTGCTTATCCCAAGTCATCCTCTCCCAAGCCATCCAATATACCCCTTTGCTATTCCCCTCCCCTTTCTTCCACCAAAACTCAGCAATTAGTTTGCACACTTCCTTGCAAATCCCCACAGGTAGTACAAAGCATGACATCACAAACACTGGAAGAGCATTGAGTACAGTCTTTATTGCTGAGTTAATTCATTAATAATTTTTTATTAAAATTAGTTAATCTTTTTTTAACTCATTAATAATTTTTTATTAAAATTAGTTAATTGCTTTTATGGTATAACCAAACCACTTAAAATTCCGCTCACAATTGCTATAATAATAGTGTTAATATTATTTTTATCTAATTAATTGGTCATAATCACTCAAAATGCTAAAATTACATTACTGTAATCAATATAGTGATTTATATGTAGGTTAAATAGTTTATATTTATGTTTAAAAATAATAAAATTTATAGAATGAGTGATATACTCATTATCTAACTTATAATTTTAAATATTATATCTATTCCCTTATCTATATAAAAAGGCAGTGCTTGCCTTCCCTGTGCGACACGTGTCATACTAAAGTAAAAAACTCTACTCTCTTATGTTTGCCAAACGACGCCGTTTGGGTAAGATAGAAACGTCGCCGTTTAGGTTCAATTGTTAAAAGCCTTTTCCTTCGCATTTTACCCAAAACTTCGAGTATGTTTGGATACAAAAAATCTCAAAAAAAATTTCAACATTTTAACTCAACCACTTTTTTTAACTCAACTTTAACTCAACCCCACTATCATCAATATTATCAATATAATTAAATAATATCACTCAACCATTCACACACCCCATCTACCTTAATTCACTATTCATCCACTAACATTATTTTAACTAACCATAACTTCAAATCATCTTTCTACTATTTTACATCAAATCAATTTTAATTATTTTATCTTAAATATTGTTTTAATATACTAACTAACAACTAACCATACCAACTTTTTCAAAATTAACCAAACCAAACCAAAGAATCTAACGACACCAAAAATTTTTATATCCAAACACCAAACATGCTCTTCAGCTCCACGCGAACATCACAGGTGTTTTCTTCTTCTCTATTTGCATGTGTTCGATTTCCAGCGAAGTCTATTAATCTTTGTCTTTCTATTCGTGTTTCGATTGATTTTCCTCATTCTTTTCTTATTGCTTCAATCGTTAGGCATTTTCCTCCTCATTTCAGCCACATTTTGACGTGAACTTCAACAGGTATTTTCGTCTCTCTATTCACATGCGTTCGATTTCCATTGAAATCAGTTCTTTTTCATCTTTCGCTTTGTGTTTTCGTATGATTTTAGTCATTATTTTCGTATTTCCTATAATTTAAAGCTTAATTTTTTTAAGTGTTTATTGTTTCGAATGGATCGCCGACCCATTCTATATAGGCCATACCTCGGCTTCTTCCTAATGCTTCATGGGTGGCTGGGAAGAAAATTGCTTGAGGGTTTGGTATTCTTCTTCTTATTTTTTTTCCCTGAATATTGTTGATTATTGGCGTCAAATCCCGCTGTTTTCCCATTTTCGGGTGCCTCATTCTTATATAATCTTTTTTAAGAATATTTCAGATGTAACATGTTGAGTGTTGATCTTCGCTTGAGAAATTTTAATCTACATCACATTTCCTTTTTCCTTTTTTTTTTTTTTCAGATTATGA